GTGAGGCTGTGTCATACCCAGACGCTTAGCAGCCAATGATTTGGTGTCACGTTTAAGCTGATGTTGACATAGGCGGAAATGGTGCCAACCTGTCATGTTGAGGGCGGCGATAATGCGGTCACTGTGTCACCATGTTATAGCTGGCGGTGGTGACACAGGTCATACCTGGAGCATACCTACAGAGGATATCGAGAGTTCCTCTACTCCCTGAGCCTTACCTCTCCCAACCAACCCAGGCTCCATTTTAGGCCAATGTTCCTTGGAGCACATTGTATCGTCACATTGTATCCAAGCCTGCTCACCAATGGACATTAAAATCTTACCAAACCGAACCTCCCCAAACCCCACCCTAAACCCCATGTAATGGATGGGTTTAAGTTTTTTTTGTACCCAAAATAGCAAGCTTTAGTTGTACCTTCGTTGCTGAACTCACTGTATGCTAATTTCTCTCAATCTTTATATTTCATATTTATCTATAAATATGAAATAGTGAAGGTGGCCTCATTTTCTAACTTTTCACTTCCTCTGCACAGCATGTGGAAATTCACAGCAGTATCATGTTCATATCGGTGTAGGAGAGATAAATACCACCTGTGGTGTCTGGGTGTTGGTAGTGTGGTCACGATACTTAACGAGTAAGAATGTTGTCAGTGTCATGCCTAGCACCAGCTCAGTGTTGGTAGTGTGGTCAGTAATGCTGGAGAGTAATGCTGTTGTCAGTTATGCTGTTGTCAGGGATGCAGGTCCAATCAACACCATTTTAAACCTACCTAACCTTACCTAACCAAACCTAACCTTACCTAACGTAACCTAATCTTACCTAACCTAACCTTACCTAACCTTACCTAACCTAACCTTACCTAACCTAACCTAACCTAACCTTACCTAACCTAACCTTACCTAACCTTACCTAACCTAACCTAACCTAACCTTACCTAACCTAATCTTGCCTAACCCAAATCAAGCTCACCTAAGCCAACAAAGATTAGCATAGCCTGAGTTAATATATCCTAACTTAGAGATATTTGACAATCAGAAAAATGGGCGCCTAGTGGAAACGCCTATGGATTCTGTCTATGGGTCCTGCCTATGGGAGCCGGTCGGCCGAGCGGACAGCACGCTGGACTTGTGATCATGTGGTCCTGGGTTCGATCCCAGGCGCCGGCGAGAAACATTGGGCAGAGTTTCTTTCACCCTATGCCCCTGTTACCTAGCAGTAAAATAGGTACCTGGGTGTTAGTCAGCTGTCACGGGCTGCTTCCTGGGGGTGGAGGCCTGGTCGAGGACCGGGCCGCGGGGACACTAAAAAAAAGCCCCGAAATCATCTCAAGATAACCTCAAGATAACCTCAAGATAACCTCAAGATATGGGTCTATGCGTCACCGTTGTTAAAGTATAACAAATGTATTGATCATGTTGACCCGTGAAAGCGTACAATCTTAAGAACATTAGGAGAAAGGTAACTGCAGAAGGCCTATTGGCCCATACGAGGCAGCTCCTATCTATAACCCCCCAATCTCATTCACATATACAGTATGTCTAACCTACGCTTGAAACAATCGAGGGATCCTACTTATATTGTGTTAGGTAAATCGTTCCACAAATCAACAACCCTGTTACCAAACCAGTATTTACCCCAGGTCTTTCCGAAATCTAAACTTATCCAATTTATACCCATTGTTTCGTGTTCAATTTTGTGTTCATCTTTCACCAATTTTCATCTGTCGCTGTACACACACACGTGTCTGAACAATTGTTATTCATTACCTCCAAAGGATACCTGATCAACCAGGCTGTGACTCATACGTCAGGCTGCGAGCAGCCGCGTCTAACAGCCTGGTTGATCAGTCCAGCAACCAGGAGGCCTGGTCGACGACCGGGCCGCGGGGACACTAAGCCCCGGAAGCACCTCAAGGTAGCCTCAAGGTACCCCATCACTAAGAGAACTGATCCAAACACACTGAGCAAAAATATTAGCATCAGCATTTTATAAACGTGGTTGGCCTGCATGTATCCAACTCAAGGACCTCCGTACATACCCACACAGTTCTAGAAACCCATTCCCATAATTGTCGAAATATTCAATCTCTTAAAAAAATCTTCTTAGGGTATTAAACCATCTTGAAAAAGAGCCAAACTTTAGTCATCTCTCGAAAAGCCTAATCCAAATACCCCGCAAATTAAAAAATAAAGTCTGAATTACGTCTAAGTACTAATTTATTACAAAAACCTTAGCAGAACATACTCATTCATCACTAGAAACACCTCGCCTGAATCTGAAGACACAATACATCTCCAAAAATTACTATTCATATCCATACTCACCTTATTTTTGAACCAACATCCACTCGATAAACACATAATATCATTCTTTCACTCGTCAACAATATCCGCTCGTTAAGCACACAGTATTACATCATTCTTGCAAATCGTCACCCGTATCCACTTGTTAAACATATAACATCAATCTTACAATCTTCACTCATCTGTAAAATGCGTAAAGCCTATTTAAAAATGGCCCTTAAAGTACCTATTAAACAGCCAGCATAAACATCTCGTTCATCTCAGAAACATTTAAGACAAGCTAAGTCTGTACTTAACAAATAACTGACAATAGACACACTTGTATCCACACAAATATCCACAGACCAGCCACATCTATATCCACACAAATATCTTCACAGACCAGCCACATCTATAATCCACACAAATATCTTCAGAGACCAGCCACATCTATATCCACACAAATATCTTCAGAGACCAGCCACATCTATAATCCACACAAATATCTTCAGAGACCAGCCACATCTATATCCACACAAATATCTTCAGAGACCAGCCACATCTATAATCCACACAAATATCTTCAGAGACCTGCCACATCTATAATCCACACAAATATCTTCAGAGACCAGCTACATATATAATCCACACAAATATCTTCAGAGACCAGCCACATCTATAATCCACACAAATATCTTCAGAGACCAGCCACATCTATAATCCACACAAATATTCACAGACCAGCCACATCTATAATCCACACAAATATCTTCAGAGACCAGCCACATCTATATCCACACAAATATCCACAGACCAGCTACATATATATCCACACAAATATCTTCAGAGACCAGCCACATCTATAATCCACACAAATATCTTCAGAGACCAGCCACATCTATAATCCACACAAATATCTTCAGAGACCAGCTACATCTATATCCACACAAATATCTTCAGAGACCAGCCACATCTATAATCCACACAAATATCTTCAGAGACCAGCTACATATATATCCACACAAATATCTTCAGAGACCAGCCACATCTATAATCCACACAAATATCTTCAGAGACCAGCCACATCTATAATCCACACAAATATTCACAGACCAGCCACATCTATAATCCACACAAATATCTTCAGAGACCAGCCACATCTATATCCACACAAATATCCACAGACCAGCCACATCTATAATCCACACAAATATCCACAGACCAGCCACATCTATAATCCACACAAATATCTTCAGAGACCAGCCACATCTATAATCCACACAAATATCTTCAGAGACCAGCCACATCTATAATCCACACAAATATCCACAGACCAGCCACATCTATAATCCACACAAATATCTTCAGAGACCAGCCACATCTATAATCCACACAAATATCTTCAGAGACCAGCCACATCTATAATCCACACAAATATCTTCAGAGACCAGCCACATCTATAATCCACACAAATATCTTCAGAGACCAGCCACATCTATATCCACACATACTGCCCATCCTTGAAACGAGGGATACTTGACCATGATAAATGCCCAAAAATGCCCCAAATCCCAAATCTTTACCACCTTCTCACAGGAATATAAAAATGTCTACATAAAGTAATAGAAAGAAATCCTAATTCAAATGTGAAAAAAAGAGGATTTGAGGGTCAATGTTAACTAGTAGAGGTGGATGATAGAATCCTCTAGACACACCAATGGATACCACAAGAGGCCTCTACTTGTTAAGAGAGAATCTTGCAGGTGGTTGTCTATAAACCTCACTCAATGCTCTATAAGGACGACTCAATCCCACACTGCCCATTCGTACTTACTAGACACAAGGTATAGACGATTCAACAAGATATCACGGACAAGATATAGGCGATTTAACACAAGATATCAGGGACAAGACATAGACAATTTAACACAAGATATCAGGGACAAGATATAGACAATTTAACACAAGATATTAGGGACAAGACATAGACAATTTAACACAAGATATCAGGGACAAGATATAGACAATTTAACACAAGATATTAGGGACAAGACATAGGCAATCTAACACAAGATATCAGGGGCAAGACATAGCCAATTTAACACAAGATATCAGGGACAAGACATAGACAATCTAACACAAGATATCAGGGACAAGACATAGACAATTTAACACAAGATATCAGGGACAAGACATAGGCAATCTAACACAAGATATCAGGGACAAGACATAGACAATTTAACACATGATATCAGGGACAAGACATAGGCAATCTAACACAAGATATCAGAGACACGGTATATACCCTATCCAAGACAAGATATCAGGAACAAGGCACCGATAACTCAAGACAGAGACCAACCTCCAAGCCAAGACATACGCACACGTTATAGCAAGGTCAAAGACCACGACCAAGGAGACAAAGCCTCACAAGATGGAGATTAAGGAGATGAAGATGGAGATTAAGGAGATGAAGATGGAGATTAAGGAGATGAAGATGGAGATTAAGGAGATGAAGATGGAGATTAAGGAGATGAAGATGGAGATTAAGGAGATGAAGATGGAGATTAAGGAGATGAAGATGGAGATTAAGGAGATGAAGATGGAGATTAAGGAGATGAAGATGGAGATTAAGGAGATGAAGATGGAGATTAAGGAGATGAAGATGGAGATTAAGGAGATGAAGATGGAGATTAAGGAGATGCTGGAGACCGTACCTGCAGCATCCAGTGGGCCACGATCTCCCTCATATGGGGCTCCACGTCGGTCTGTACGCACGAGAAATAACTCGAATTGGGCATGTATTTCTCCTCCAAGTTCAAGAGGTTCAAGAGAACTCGGTCGTCTTTAAGAAGGACGGGATCTAGGTAGGCTTTGCACTTCATGTCCAGTTCCACAGACGCATTCTCGCAGCACAGGAGATCCATCTTGTCCATGCTGCAATTGGGTCGTTAAGCGCACTAAAGGTATGGTAGTTAGTGTAACTAGAGGACACTACTAGTCAGTCCTCACAAGTCGTACAGCTGACCATTTTCACGGCGATTTTTGACCTTTTTTTTTGTTAAATAAAGTTCCTGTGGCAAAAATAAATGACTAGTTTTTTTTTTATCGGACCCAAAATATTATATATATTATATATACCCCAATTTCGATTTTTGTTTTTTTAATTACTCGTAATAAAATAGAGCACTCGTTGCTTTGATGGAATGAGGTAGGATGAAAGGGAGTGACATCGGGGGAA